AGTAGAAGTAGCAAGACATGCCTGTAATCTTGCATATTTATGAGACAGACAAAAGACATCAGCAATCCTACCATCATGTAAAACAATCACAGGCTTCGTTTTACACTCACTTGGCAGGACGGTAGTACCTCCCTGGGTGGTTGCTGTCTACCAACCTACTACCATAATACATAATACCAAAATACTACCATAATACATCTATAATAATAATAATAATAATGTACTACATATAATAATTATAATAATAGACGGCTTCAAAAGGACGTCAGTAGATGGCAGTGTGTACCACAACAAAGAGGGAGAGGTTGTGGCTGCCTCCACCTGTTACATAATGACATAGTTTATTCATTCTAGAGTATATATCATGTTTCTATGTTATTTATATTGTTTGTTATGTCATATTTGATGAACAGTGATAGATAAATAAGCCATATAGATGATGATAGCGAAATTATTCATGAAGTATTTTGCCCGGTCTCCAGACAAACTCTCATCCACTGCCGACACCGCCCATACCACTACATGAATGACATATTTTATTCATTTTAGAGTATATATCAGGTTTCTGTGTTATTTATATTGTTTATTATGTCCTATTAGATGAACTGAGATAGATAATTAAGCTGTTGAGTTGATATTAGCGATATTATTGAAGTACAGAATTCCACTGGAACGGATTATTTGCATTTCAGTTAGAGGAAAATTGACTGCAAACGAGCAAATCCAGTTGCGAGCAAGGTCGTAGAACGGATTAAACTCGCAATTAGAGGTTCCACTGTATATGCTTCTAAACTGTTGTATCTGGGTGCCTCTGCAAAAACAGTGATTATGTATGAGTGAGGTGAAAGTGTTGAATGATGATGCAAGTATTTTTGTTTTGGTGATTTTCTTTCTTTTTGGGTCACACTGCCTAGGTTGGAGATGGCCGATTTGTTGAAAAAAATAAAAAATATAAAACACGAAATGACTTTAAAATGCTTGAAATTTTGGAAAGTTTCCAGACATAATGGAGAGACGCGGTGCTCACGGAGAATGTATACAAACCGGGTGGGGCGCACTGGCCATATTAGAAAGTCAGCTGGGACACCATATAGTGAGTTTTGGTCATAATTTGAAATGTCTGTATTAGTGGAATGGTGTAAGGCAAAACGCCGTAAAGCAGGGCCCTACTACGTATATATATATGTGACGAAATATCTTACACTAAAAAAATATACTGTACAGTATAATTTTTTTTTTCAACAAATCGGCCATATCCCACCAAGGCAGGGTGACCTAAAAATAAAAACAAAAGTTTCTCTTTTTAAATGTAGTACATGTAATGTATACAGAAAGGGTTACTATCCCCTTGTTCCCAGCATTTTAGTTGCCTCTTAAGACAAGCATAACTTAGGGAGGAAGAATTCTGTTCCACTTCCCCATGGAGTACAATATAAATACTCTCAATATATTGGCATGTCCTTATATACATGTAAAATAGGAGTGTGCTCTTCCTATTAAAGACAGTGGGCAGATGAGTACAGTGGTATACAATATTTAGACGTTCTGTAAATGCAAGGCCTTGTCCATCTAAAAATTCGCTTTGTGTATAAGCCTCAGGCAGGTGAGGATATTGAAATGGTCTTTCCAGAACTCCCTGGGGGATAAATTTGTTTCTAAAGTGATTTCAAAGCACCTTTCAAAAAGTGCTTTACTGTAGGGATTTTTGAAGTTAGAAATGACCTACTGGTCCATGGGGTGGATTTGGGGAGGCAAGAGCCTCCTCTGGTGGTGTTAGGAGGCAACAGCCGCTTTGTCAGCACTGGCAGCCTCCTCCTGCCTACTCACACTATGAATGCCACTTCTTTTCTTAAAATTATCAAATCAACCCCTACTAACCTTGAAGGATTGGGTTTCAGCACTTGTTCTGATTTTTTTTTTCAGGAGGTCATCATGCAACTGCCTCGCTTTTTCACAAATAATGGCCTCTGTAACACTATCAACAAGAGTTCTTCATCCTCCTGAATAATTTGTGGCCTTTGCTTTGATAACACTTTTGTGCCTTTTGCAAGGTCAGCTGCTTTAATTTTTTCCCTTTGACCCAGTATTGTGCTAATGGTAGACTTTGATTTACCAATAAGTTTCGCTACATCAACCATACGGAACCTATCTTCTTCATACTTTCTAATGACTTCTTTTTTAAACTCAACAGTGCTTTTTACAACTTTTCTTTTTGCTTTCATCTCTTTATCATTCTTTGGACCCATGATGGCTTATCTCACAATAAAAAAAATGCAACAAAACTGCAAAATAACAAAAAAAAGTTTACAAGATGCACAACAAAAGCTCAAGAGATGTTTACAGCACACGAGTCAGTGAGCACATGACCCGAGCTGTTCATGTTGTCAGTTGACAACCAGGAGAACATACAAAAAACAGGACTTTTTTTTTTTTTCTTGAATTCCTTGTTTAAAAGCTGATTTGTTCAACAATGCAGTCGACAACTGAGGTTCCACTGTACAGTGGACCCCCGGTTCGCGAAGTCATCGGTAACCGATAAATCCGGTATCCGAAGCATTATATCGCAAAAAATTTGCCTCGGTTCCCGTTAGAAAACCCGGTACGCGATACGATTCGTACGAGACTTGTCCACTTGTGGCCTGAACTGCCCCGTGTGTGCCAGTGTTTACAGGCCAGCCAGTGTGTGCGCATTAAGGATACATTCGGTACATTCCATATTATCCATATTATCACTGTTTTTGGTGCTTGTTTCTGCAAAATAAGTCACCATGGGCCCAAAGAAAGCTTCTAGTGCCAACCCATCGAGACCAAGGGTGCTAATGACTATTGAAATGAAGAAAGAGATAATTGCAAAGTATGAAAGTGGAGAGTGTGTGTGTCGGACCTGGCCAAGTTGTATAGTAAATCCCAATCAACCATCTCTACTATAGTGAGCAGGAAAACGGCAATCAAGGAAGCTGTTCTTGCAAAAGGTGCAACTGTGATTACAAAACAGCGATCGCAAGTGTTAGAAAATGTTGAGAGACTGTTATTGGTGTGGATAAATGAAAAACAGATAGCTGGAGTTAGCATCTCTCAAGCGATCATTTGTGAAAAGGCTAGGCATTTGCATGAGGATTTAATTAGAAAAAATGCCTGCAACTAGTGGTGATGTGAGTGAATTTAAGGCCAGCAAAGGTTGGTTTGAAAGATTTAAGAATCGTAGTGGCATACGTAGTGTGTTTAGGCATGGTGAGGCTGCCAGTTCAGACCAAAAAGCAGCTGAAAAATATGTGCATGAATTCAAGGAGTACATAGAGGCTGAAGGATTGAAACCTGAACAAGTGTTTAATTGTGACGAAACAGGCCTGTTTTGGAAGAAATTGCCAAGCAGGACTTAAAAGGCACTCCCAGGACATAAGCCTATGAAAGACAGGCTTACTCTGTTGATGTGTGCCAATGCTAGTGGTGATTGCAAAGTGAAGCCTTTATCGGTGTGGTGTATCACTCAGAAACTCCCAGAGAGTTCAGGCAAAAGAATATCCTCAAGGCTAATGTGTGTGTGCTGTGGAGGGCAAATACTAAGGCATGGGTCACTAGGGACTTTTTCTATGACTGGTTACACCATGCATTTGCTCCCACTGTGAAAAATTACCTAACTGAAAAGAAATTAGACCTTAAGTGCCTCCTGGTGTTAGACAATGCCCCTGGTCATCCTACAGACTTGGCAGAGTGACTTTGTGGGGACATGAGCTTCATTAAGGTCAAGTTTTTGCCTCCTAATACCACTCCTCTCCTGCAGCCCATGGACCAGCAGGTCATTTCCAACTTCAAGAAACTGTGCACAAAAGCTATGTTTGAAATGTGCTTTGAAGTGACCACAGATACTCTATTGACTTTAAAGGAGTTTTGGAAGGATCACTTTAATATCCTCAATTGTGTAAACCTTATAGGTAAGGCTTGGGAAGGAGTGACTAAGAGGACCTTGAACTCTGTTTGGAAGAAACTGTGGCCAGAATGTGTAGACAAAGGGGATTTTGAAGGGTTTGAGGCTAACCCTGGGAATCCTATGCCAGTTGAGGAATCCATTGTGGCATTGGGAAAGTCCTTGGGGTTGGAGGTTAGTGGGGAGGATGTGGAAGAGTTGGTGGAGGAGGACAATGACGAACTAACCACTGATGAGCTGCTAGATTATCTTCAACAGCAAGAGGCCAGACCTGAGGAAACTGCTTTGGAGGAGGGGATAGAGAAATTGACGAAGTTGCCTACTTCAGAGATTAAGGAAATGTGTGCAAAGTGGCTTGAAGTGCAAACCTTTTTTGATGAAAATCACTCTGACACAGCTACTGCAAGCCGTGTTGGCAACCTGTACACTGACAATGTTGTGAACCACTTTAGGAAAGTCATAAAGGAACGAGAGGTACAGGCCTCTATGGACAGATATGTTGTGCGACAGAAGTCCAGTGACTCTGAAGCTGGTGCTAGTGGCATTAAAAGAAGAAGGGAAGTAACCCCAGAAAAGGACTTGCTACCTCAAGTCCTAATGGAGGGGGATTCTCCTTCTAAACATTAAAAACTTCGACACTCTCCCCTCCTCCCATCCCATCAATCATCACCAGATCTTCATTAAAGGTAAGTGTCAATTATTCTATTGTGATTATTCTATTGTTATTATTATTATTGTAATTATTCTATTGCATCAAACTTAATATTTCATGTGGTAAAAGTTTTTTTTTTTTTTCATACTTTTGGGTGTCTTGCACGGATTAATTTGATTTCCATTATTTCTTATGGGGAAAATTGATTTGCTTTCCGATAATTTTGCTTTACGATGAGCTCTCAGGAACGGATTAATAACGTGAACCGGGAGTCCACTGTATATGGAAATTAATGAAACTTTTTTTGTGGAAGAATTAGTAATATGTGATTTTGCTCAGTAAAATCTGATGAAATCCAGTGTAATAAATTTATGTAATAAATGTTTAATGCTGAAATGTAAAAAACAGTTGTAATAATTATAGCTAATGGCTGGGAAAAACACAAGCAGACGTGTTTCTGAGGCTGGCTTGACCATGGCTCTGCTGACAGTAGACTGTCGTGGACGGTATCAAAGAAAGAGACAGGAAGAACAAGAGTTGTTGCACAGTAGTCATAATCTTCATAAAAAGCAAGGTACTGTATTAATAAGTTTATATGGTCAAATTAGTTATTTACCTGTATACAGCAGCAGGAAAATGTGTTGCAAGTGTATCCCATATGTTATCACATAAACCCCTGGTAGGGGTTTATGTGATAACATGGCTAATGTAATGCAAAAAATTACTAAATTTATTTTTTTTAGTTGTATGTGCTTTGTTTCTTTATGATATGTTAATGCTTTTGCATTGACATGAAACTGTTTTGTAAAAACCTCTCATATTCAAAAACATTTATATATGGCCATTAAAGCATTCTTCATGTTAAAATTATGTAGCTACTTTGGGAACCAACTTTACATTCATCCAAAGCTATTTGTTTGTGTTTGAGTTTAAAAAATGAATACATTTAAACTTGATGTAGCTGTGTACATTAGGATCAAGAGCCTAGCAGATATGTATTCCCTGATTTTACTTGCATAGACTTTTTTCAGAGAACCATATTTTTTAAATCACAAGTGTGGTGGTGATGGTAAGTGTGGTAGTGTGTGCATCAACCATCACCACCAGTGTGTGTACTCACCTAATTGTGGTTGCAGGGGTCGAGACTCAGCTCCTGGCCCCGCCTCTTCACTGATCACTACTGGATCCTCTCTCTCTCTGCTTCCTGAGCTTTGTCATACCTCTTCTTAAAACTATGTATGGTTCCTGCCTCCACTACTTCACTTGCTAGGCTATTCCACTTGCTGACAACTCTATGACTGAAGAAATACTTCCTAATGTCCCTGTGACTCGTCTGAGTCTTCAGCTTCCAGTTGTGACCCCTTGTCCCTGTGTCCCCTCTCTGGAACATCCTATCTCTGTCCACCTTGTCTATTCCCCGCAGTATCTTCTATGTCGTTATCATGTCTCCCCTGACCCTTCTGTCCTCCAGTGTCGTCAGTCCGATTTCCCTTAACCTTTCCTCGTACGACATTCCCTTGAGCTCTAGGACTAGCCTTGTTGCAAACCTTTGTACTTTCTCTAACTTCTTGACGTGCTTGACCAGGTGTGGGTTCCAGACTGGTGGTGCATACTCCAGTATGGGCCTAACGTACACAGTGTACAGTGTCTTGAACGATTCCTTATTAAGGTATCGGAACGCTATTCTCAGGTTTGCCAGGCGCCCGTATGCTGCAGCGGTTATGTGTGTGTACTCACCTAATTGTGGTTGCAGGGGTCGAGACTCAGCTCCTGGCCCCGCCTCTTCACTGATCGCTACTGGATCCTCTCTCTCTCTGCTTCCTGAGCTTTGTCATACCTCTTCTTAAAACTATGTATGGTTCCTGCCTCCACTACTTCACTTGCTAGGCTATTCCACTTGCTGACAACTCTATGACTGAAGAAATACTTCCTAACGTCCCTGTGACTCGTCTGAGTCTTCAGCTTCCAGTTGTGACCCCTTGTCCCTGTGTCCCCTCTCTGGAACATCCTATCTCTGTCCACCTTGTCTATTCCCCGCAGTATCTTGTATGTCGTTATCATGTCTCCCCTGCCCCTTCTGTCCTCCAGTGTCGTCAGTCGATTTCCTTAACCTTTCCTCGTACGACATTCCTTGAGCTCTGGACTAGCCTTGTTGCAAACCTTTGTACTTTCTCTAACTTCTTGACGGCTTGACCAGGTGTGGGTTCCAGACTGGTGCTGCATACTCCAGTATGGGCCTAACATACACAGTGTACAGTGTCTTGAACGATTCCTTATTAAGGTATCGGAATGCTATTCTCAGGTTTGCCAGGCGCCCATATGCTGCAGCTGTTATTTGGTTGATGTGTGCACTCCGGTGATGTGCTGGGTGTTATGGTCACCCCAAGGTCTTTCTCCCTGAGTGAGGTCTGTAGTCTTTGTCCACCTAGCCTATACCTGTCTGCGGTCTTCTTTGCCCCTCCCCAATCTTCATGACTTTGCATTTGGCTGGATTGAATTCGAGAAGCCAGTTGCTGGACCACATGTCCAGCCTGTCCAGGTCTCTTTGCAGTCCTGCCTCATCCTCGTCCGATTTAATTCTTCTCATCAACTTCACATCATCTGCGAACAGGGACACTTCAGAGTCTATTCCTTCCATCATGTCGTTCACATATATCAAAATAGCACTGGTCCTAGAACTGACCCCTGTGGGACCCCGCTCGTAACAGGCGCCCACTGTGATACCTCTTCACGTACCATGACTCGTTGCTGCCTCCCTGTCAGGTATTCTCTTATCCATTGCAGTGCCCTCCTTTTACGTGCGCCTGATCCTCCAGCTTCTGCACTAATCTCTTGTGGGGAACTGTGTCAAAGGCCTTCTGCAGTCTAGGAAAACGCAATCTACCCACCCCTCTCTCTCGTGTTTTTACTTCTGTTACCTTGTCATAAAACTCCAGGAGGTTTGTGATACAAGATTTGCCTTCCATGAACCATGCTGGTTTTCATTTATAATCTTGTTCCTTTCCAGGTATTCGACCACTCTCCTCCTGATAATCTTCTCCATGACTTTGCACACAATACATGTCAGAGACACAGGTCTGTAGTTTAGTGCCTCGTTTCTGTTTCCTTTCTTAAATTATGGGGACTACATTAGCTGTCTTCCATTTCTCAGGTAGTTGCCCAGTTTCAAGGGATGTGTTGAAGATTGTGGTTAGAGGCACGCACAGCATCTCTGCTCCTTCTCTAAGGACCCATGGGGAGATGTTGTCCGGTCCCATCGCCTTTGAGGTGTTAAGGTCACTTAAGAGCTTCTTCACCTCCTCCTCAGTTGTTTGTATGTCATCCAACACTTGTTGGTATATTCCCTCTTGACGTTCCCTTCTGTGCTGTCTTCCCACAGCCCTTCCTGTCTCTACTGTAAAAACTTCCTTAAATCTCCTGTTCAGCTCCTCACATACATCCTGATCATTTCTTGTGAGTTCACCTTCTGTCCTTAATCTGATCACCTGGTCTTTGACTGTTGTCTTCCTCCTGATGTGGCTATACAACAGTTTCGGCTCAGTCTTGATTCTCAATACTATGTCATTTTCATACTGTCGCTGGGCCTCCCTCCTTACCTGTGCGTACTCATTCCTGGCTCTGCGACTAATCTCTCTATTTTCGTGTGTTCTCTACCTTCTGTACTTTTTCCATTCTCTATTGCACTTTGTTTTTGCCTCCTTACACCGTCGGGTAAACCAGGGGCTCGCTCTGGTCTTCCCGTTGTTACTGTTGCCCTTGGGAATAAACCTTTCCACTGCCTCCTTGCATTTTGTTGTTACATATTCCATCATTTCATTTACTGGCTTTCCTGCCAGTTCTCTGTCCCACTGGACCTCCCGCAGGAAGTTCTTCAACCCTATGTAGTCCCCTCTTTTATAGTCAGGCTTTTCCCATTCAACTCCTGTTATTCTCTCCACTTGCAGCTCTACTATGTATTCAAAGCACAGAACCACGTGGTCGCTAGCCCCTAGGGGACTCTCATACTTGATGTCCTCAATATCTGAGCTGCCCAGGGTGAACACAAGGTCCAATCTTGCTGGTTCATCCTCCCCTCTCACTCTGGTAGTGTCCTTAACATGTTGGTGCATGAGGTTTTCCAGCACCATGTCCAACATCCTGGCTCTCCATGTTTCGGGACCCCCATGTGGCTCCAGGTTTTCCCAGTCAATCTCCCTGTGGTTGAAATCCCCCATAACCAGCAACTTTGCTCTGCTGGAGTGAGCTCTTCTTGCCACCTCAGCAAGTGTGTCCACCATTGCTCTGTTGCTCTCTTCATATTCCTCTCTTGGCCTCCTGCAGTTCTGTGGTGGATTATACATCACTGCAATGACCACTTTGTGTGTGTGTGTGTGTGTGTGTGTGTGTGTGTGTGCGTGTGTGCGTGTGTGTGTGTGCGTGTGTGCGTGTGTGTGTGCATGTGTGTGTGTGCACATGTGTGCATGTGTGCATATGTGTGTTTGTTTTAGTTTAGTTAATGCGTGCGCACACACTACCAGTGTGGTTGCATGTGTTAATGCAAGGGTTAATGCATCCATCACCACCAGTGTAGGGGTGTTAGTGAGTATAGTAGTGCATGCCAACCTAAGATTAATTATAATGCATGCCACAGTGAGATTCATTATTAAGATTACTGTAATTAAGATTTTTTTTCATAGTGCATCAACTGTTTCTCACCGAGGTAGGGTGACCCAAAAAAAACAGAAATGCTTTCACTATTATTCATTCAGTCATTGTTATGCTGACATCACAGATCAGATGACCTTCCAAACAGCAACATCCCCAACTCACCTTCAGGCAGTACGTACTGTACTTCCAACGTCCAAGAATCAAGTCAGGATAACCAGTTTTCCAGTATCCCTTCATAAATATTACCTTAAACTCTAATAGCATGTCAAATCATAAAAATGACTGGCTCTCACTTGCTTCTGTCAAACACACTCACACAAGCCAGTTGGATGTCCAAACCCCTGGCACACAACCTCCTTCCACCTCAAATTTATGTACATTTCTTCCGAGACATCCTGTTTTTCTTCACTCTCTCTACATGTCCAAACCTCACATCCCTCTTGAATAATTCTTTTGGTAGCCCCCATACTTCTTTCTAAACTCCAAACTATGAATTCCCTGCAGAATATTCACATCACTCATTGCCCTTGGATGCAACATCTCCACTGCATCCAGCCTCTTCCATGCTACAATGTTGAAAACTCTTGCTTCACACTGATATTAGAGTGATGGTACTGCTATACTCTTGTACATTTTGATTTTTGCCTCCATAGATAAGGTTCTTTGTCACCACAAATGCCTCAATGCACCACCCACCTTTTTCCCCTCATCAGTTCTGTTGTTCACCTTTTCTTTCCTAGACCCATCCACTGACGAGTCATTACCATATATCTTAGCACATTTACTTCCTGGACACTCCCTCCTTCTACTCTGATATCCAATCTTTTATTACCTTTATTTTTTTGTTACTCTCATCACCTTGCTCTTTACTATGAGGTACTATCAAAAGGTTTCGAAACCGCATTCAAGTACCTGACTTCAGAGGCT